ATTTGCCAAGTGTAGCGAAAAGAAAAAGTAAAAGAAGAAAAAGGGACGGAGAAAGATGATTGAGTGAACAATCAAAGTAATAATTACTTACCTCTACTCCTATGCTTCGAAAAGAAAGTGCAAAATGCTTCGAAATGGAAATGCTGAAAATAAATGCTTCGAAATATAAATCTATGTTAAGCTACTCCTAAGATAAGAAAAATGACAAGAAATATTGAAATCAATTGTCTTTGATTTATGATTCTCCCCCTTTACAATGTTTTAACACCGGTAGCAACAGAACATTTCGCATTGAAACACATTTGACAACCATTGATATAAGAAGCTGTTGGTATCAAAATGACCCATTTGTCTTGCCAAGTCAAGTGCAACAAGTTTTTTTATGTCAATGATACCAAATTAGGTGAACATTGGAAAGTTGTAGAGCGATTTCAAAGTCGAGGAATATGGAATGTGCCGGAGCTTGAGGATATAGATCCCAATGATAATGAATTGCCTATTACGAATGATGTGTTCCAGCAGGACAAGACTACTGAAATTGTCCAAATCACCATTGCACACTCCATTAGCAACATTTTACATAGGACTGATATTGCACCTGATATTATTTCAAGTCAAGTGGTTCTGCAATCTGGTAGAGGTGTATATGTAGAGGGTTCAAACAAAGATGATTTTATCTGTGATGATAATGATCAACATTCAAATGATCCTAGTGATGATGAAGATGAATTTCATAGTCATAGTAACTTGGATATAGATCATGATATAGAGCCTTGATTGTAATATCCTTTCTTTTTTACATTATGAAGTCATTTTCATTGTAATGTCCTTGATTGTAATGGCATGCCTTTGTTAATGAAGTCATGTTTAGTTATGATTGAAATTGTAATGAATTTTTTTGTTGATAATTTCATTACTTGTAATGTAGTTCTAATATTAGACTATTAGGTTATCTTATAATTTCATGAATTGTCATGCATTTTAAATCTTTATTAATGCATTGCTTACAATTCATTTGTTACATACAAAGACTACACATTTGCCACCTGGGCAAGCCAATAAGAGGAGGTCGACGACTTCAGTGTCAGAGGCAACCCCGATTGAGGTCCCGGCTCACATGTCAACAGATCCATCTCCTGTGGATGTATCTGCAGATCTATCCCCTGTGGATGCATCTCCATCTTTGCAAACAGCTGATATTGGTAAGTGTTTCAACCTTTGTATACAACAATTTGATTCTTGCTCCTGAAATTGTAATTAATGTTAAGTAGTTACTACATAACTTGTGGAGTTTGGACTCTCTTTCATGATTCATACAATTGTTTGTCTCTCTTTCATGACAGAATGATATTTAAGTACTAAGGGCAACATACAATTGTTTGTGTCTCTCTTTAATGATTCATGTGACCTAACTTTCCTCTCCCCACCTAAGTCAGCATCTGAAACCCACCTTCCCAGATTTTGACCTACCAACATTTCCTTAAACCCTAAACTCCAACAATAAGAGAAGGGCAGCCCCATTGCCACAGCAATAGTGGTTGCTGCTAGGGCAGAGCACAATCACTCAATGCATCAAAAAAGTTTTTATTCTACCCCAGCAATAGAACTGCCCTTAGAGAAACTCAACAGAATTTTCAGACAAACTAAACAATGTAAATCTTGATAACAATAATTAATCCGACAAATTTAATATGAATGTCCCATACTTCATAGGACAACCTAAATTTTTATCAATAAATTTCAACCCTTTTCTATACTCCTAGGTAATTCAATATGCTCTTCTCATGGAAGTGGCTTCGGTTATACCTAAGGTTGCACATATCAGTCATGCAATTGCCAACCTATGTTAGTGCTCACTCACACTAACAACATAATCTCCTTAAACAAGTCACTCAGCAAAGAAGTTTATACTAATGGTTGGCTGTTAAAGTTGAGTAGACATCCCTTTCCACATCTAATAAACTATTTGGAGTTACATACTAAATATGATGACCTGTATCTGTCATACCAATGGAATTTCCATACATGACAATTAAGAATCCCTTACAATTCCATTTAGGTCATAAATATGGTTCGTTGTTGGTAACATAATAATAGGGCTGATTAAAAAAAAAAACTAATATAGGAGAGCAATGGAATAAGAGATATTCCAAAGTGGAAGTACATTAGATACACAGTTACAGTGCCTATGGCTGTGGACTTAATAAAACCTCATGGGTTTATATAAGACCCGTTCCTAATAAATAAGAATTTTTCTGTGTAAAAATAACCTTTTAATGCAGAAAGGGTGCTGTGTGTGAGTTATGATCTAATAAATTAATAATGTTGGGCATTGATGTTCCAGGAAGCATATGGTGTGCAACAAAAAGAGTTTGTTTGTTATCATGGTCTTGCATTATATATGAATGTGAGACCAGAGTGTTTTGAATAGATTTTTTTCTTGTTGGGATAAAAAGAAGGTTTTTGTAAGTTGTCTGTGATCCAAAGGTCTCCCTACTTGGAGCCTAGAGCTTTAAAGAAGATTAACAACCATGTTGTCTCTACCTTGTTTTCTGAAGTAATTTATGAATTCTTTGACACTTGATGGGGATCTTGGATGTCAGTTGATTGCATTTGTTGCAGTAAGTTTGTGTAATTGCAGCTAACAAATAAACTCAAGTTTGTATGCTATATTTTGTGACTGGGTATACTTCCAATGAATCTGCAGAAGTTAGGTCCAAAGATCTTAAATTGTGTTTTAATATGATGCTCGATGTGACCAAGAGTATAAATCTTGTGAGCTGGCTGCTTATATTTGAACTCCAACCCCCCACCAACAAAAAAGGGCAAAAAAAAGAAGAAAAAAAGTACAACAACTCTCTTGATATGTAGCAAGCGACACTTAAAGAATAGGTGTAGCATTCATCGTTTCATTTTCCAAATATTTGTGGGATTTGCTAGATATATGCCATTTGCTAGTTATGAGGCAGTGATTATTTTTAACCCTAGGCATAATTTTCTTTTAATTGGATGTTATTGATGGAAAATACCAGTATCCTATGCATAGAATTGAAGCCTAAATGAGTTCAGATGATTAAGATGGGCTAAAAATGAACCCACAATGAGATGGACTGAACGGTTCAATTAACTTAATCAGAGACAATCCAATCCCTTAACCAACCCCCTTCCCCATCAAGATGATAAAAAAAAAAAAAAAAAAAGTCAATTCATTTAATCACATTTTTTATTGAAAAAATATTTTTATTTGTTTATCATGTATTTGATCACTATAGTATGCTATATGCTTAAAAGAGTTTATATTGAGAGTTGGTAGGATATTATTTTAATTGCTATTTGTTAAATTAGCAAGAGCAGCAGTCTTAATTAGTAATTAACTGTTTATGAAAGAAGGGAGAAGCTGCCAGATGTGCAGCAGCAGCAGCATATAGGGTCTGTTTTGTTTTGTATTTTTGAACGACTTGGTATCCTCATTTGGTGCTCTAATAATTTATGAATATGACATCAATAATTTAGCAGCATGTTGATCATAGCAAGGACATTATTAAAAGGCAACACAAGCATTGAAGCATATCCATCTAAAACAGAAGAAGAGTAAACAGTAAGGCAGATTGTAGCATATTCTGAAAGAGAGAGTATAACAAAAACAATAAAATTTGAAGCATTCAATCATGAAGGAAAAAAGTAGTCATGAATCACTCTAACAAGCCTTTCAGATTGGACATAGAAAATGGCAGGATCAAATTCAAAACCAGAGATGTAAGCCCATGAACAGGACACTCATGGTGTTGTTGACAAATTGTTTTAAAAGAATCCTGGACTTTGTTCATGAAGGTTTCAATCAATCTAACCACAAACTTGTAGCAGTACTATCAATTTTCCTATATAGCAGCAGCTTATAAACAGCCTATATAAACCATCAAAGTGTATATACAGCAGCAACCTATAGCAGCAGCCTATAAACAACTCTTTAATTGTCCTTATTCTTGTAGAGTGTGGACATTACATTGATTATAACATATGGATTGAAAGAAATAATAGTGTTTCATTTTGTGTTTATAATATAGGTTCATCAGTGAAGCGAGTACGAGGTCCAACGAGGGGTAAGAACACTAGTAGACTTATCACCCAACATGGTGGTAAGAAGCTTTTTGTTGGAGTTCTATTGAGCGGAGAACATTTGTGGGGCTTAATGCCACTAAGGCGGCTAATGAATTGGGGGCACAAATTCGATTTCAAGCCACATTGCAAGGAACAGAAAATTGGGAGGACGTTCCACCAGCCATTCAAGTAGCTATCGTACAATCCTTGCGGCTAATTTAATTTTTATAGTTGTTGAGATTGAAGTAGTTAATATATATGATGTTTAATTTTCATTTTGTGTTTAATTGGGATAGGATAAGTTTGAAATTGAAGGATATGATGAGAGCCCACTTCCACAAGAAATTATTGACACAAAGTCCACACATTTGTTCAAAGGTTGGCGATATCATATGAATCAACATTACAAAGAGTTGGTGAAAGAAGGTACAGGTCCTTATAGTAAGCCATTTGTTAGGGTGAGCCAAGAAGAAACGGTCAACAAGAAATATAGCCAACAGGAAAAAGTTACCCTATAATCACACCATGGGTTCAAGGTCATTTTCAGCAGCAATCTCAATTGAGGTAACATATTTTTTGTTTTAAAACTATTAGTTAATGCTGCTTTATTTATTTATTTATTAATAATATTACTAAGCTTGCATTTTATGCGTTTCATGCAGGGAATTGAAAAAGGGAAGGAGCCTCACATCGTAGATTTTTACAAGACCTCACATTAGAGTAACAAAAAAAATGATTGGATTGAACCAGTTTGTGGGGTGTTATATGTAAGTATACCTTCATTATATTTGTTATTCATATTCCTATATAATGCTTAACTAGTTGGTGTACTTGTAAAATAGGATAACTGCTGATCTTTTTTTTATTTTTATTTATTTATTTATTTTAACACTAATGGGAAAAGATGGACCAACTTTGTGAGGAAGCTTCACAGCTTGGAGCAACCCCGCTAACACGAGCAAAGCAGCCTTCCGCATTCAATTCCTTGGGAAGCGGTCAGGGTATTTGAAAGGTTTCGGGGTTGGTCCAAAGCCGTCTTCCGCATTCAATTCTAGAGCTCGGTCACAAGTACGTGATGAAGAGGTTAAGGGCCTTAAAGAAGAGGTAGCATTATTGAAAGGGATAATTCAATCATATGAAGGATGCTTTGAGCAATTCGAACACTTTATGAGACAAATGCAGGGCAATCATAGTGGATACGACTCTTTTGATGAGTAAGTACTGTAAATTTTATTACATATATGAGTGTTTCAAATAGTACTATTGCTTTTGATGGTTTGTGAATATTTTTGGGATTTGCTTCAATTTATCAGCTCATAGATCTGATTTTGAAGGTTGATCTATGAATGTCGTGTTGGTTTCCATTCATATGATGGTCTAATATTGATTTGTTTGGTTTCATAGGTTGATTTCATTCGGATTTAGGTACATAGTTGGATGGCTAAATGTAATAAGACTGTTATGCAGATCTAACCTCCCTTCTTCTACCTCCCTCTGCTTCAGTTAGTGATCTAGATTCAGCCACTTAATCAACCAATTTCAATCTTAGCTTATAACTAACCAATTTCACTTGTTTCCTTCCCAAATTTTGCTTCAATAATAGCTTCCTGTCTAACAAATTCACAACATGGTTGCCTAAGAATCAAGCTGTTCGTGGCCTTACATCGGACCTGTCCAGATTTTAAGGCAAGAAAATCCCTGGTTGTATCAGTTAGGCCCTTTCTCGGACGACTTTACCGATAGAATGGGCAGCCTTTTTGATAGTTGATGCTTTCAGTATGTCATGCTCGACCCAAACCGAATTGTGAAGACAGATGGATCGGTGGATTTCAAGGATTGGAGAATCTATCGGGAGGAACCGACACATGTATTGGGACATTTTGTGCATGAAACTGTTGTTTTTGTGAGGGTGTTGTGACGATTCATGGGGCTTTTCCAAGCCACGGGGGAGTAAGAAGTCCTTGTGAGGAGGGACTATCCATGGCTGTTTGATTAGAGGTCTCAAAGGAGTTACAAACTAGGCTAACTAATTGTTTTGTAAGCTTGCAATGTAAAAAAATTTCCTAGTTTAAAGTAGTTGGTGTAGGTAACTCTAACTAGTATTCGCATTAACCTTGATTAGTAGGGGCTATCTTTTGTCTTATATTAAGCCTGTAGTATTTTATTTTTATTTTATTTTTTTTATTTGTATTTTGCTGTTCTGTAACTTGTCCCATCTAATGAATGAAGTTTTCTTTTATGAACTCTTTACTTATTGTCTTTGCATATAAATGTGTATATATTTAAATAATAATAATAATAATGATAATCATAATAATAATAGTAATCATGATGATAATAAATAAATAAATACATTAGTCACAAATTACCAACAATTCCATCATGCAGAATGGTTGGGCGAACAAGAAATAATAACGATAATGGTGATAGAGTGTTTGATGGCGATGTCGCTCGGATTATATGCGCAATTGCCGATAGGGTAGGCAATACACCACCGCGAAATCAAAATCAAAGCAAATCTGAAATGATAGCAAAGTTTGAAAAATTACATCCTCACAAATTCCTTCGTGGATCTAACCCCTATGAAGCTAAAGCCTAGTTAAGACAAATTAAGAAGTTACTAGACACTGACATTCGAAATGAGCAAGATAGGGTGACCATGGCGGTGTTTCAAATGGAAGGGGAAGTAGATCATTGGTGGGAAATGATTAGGAGTATCCGACAAGTAGAGACATTGACTTGTAGGCAATTTGAAGACCTATTCATGCAAAAATATTTTCCTAATTCATTAAGACAAGAAATGGTTCAAGAGTTCCTCCAACTAAAACAAGGAAAAATGTCAGTGACTCAATATGCAAACCGTTTTGAGGCTCTCTCAAGGTATGCTTCTGCAATAATAGCAAATGAAGATGATAAGGTTAGACGATTTGAATGGGGTTTGGACGCAGATATTAGAGGAAGATTGATCGCAATGCAACTTTCCACCTATGCTCAAATGGTGGATCAAGCTTTAATTGTGGAACGAGAATTAGCGGATTCCGAACACATTCGAAATCAGCGATCAAGGAACAATAACCAATCACGAGAAGGAGGTCCAGTTCGAAACACCAAAAACCATCCTGCACCAGCACCTTATGCTGGAGGGTTGCAGCAGCAACAAAGGCAGAATCGGTGAAACCAACAAGGAGGAAACTCTGTTAATGAGTGGAAGGGAAAGTGTTTTAGATGTGGTCAATAGGGGCATCGTCGGAGTGAGTGTCCTCAAAGTGGGGAATATTTTATGGATCAATGAAGGGCATAACAATACAACAAATGCCAGTCAGGACAAGGTTCTAAACCCACTCAAACTACTTAGACCAACAAGGGGCAGCCACAAGCCTCTAGGAATGCGGGCCGACCAAGAACACAACCACAAGGAGCTGGAGATGGAAAGAAAACAGGAGGGACTAACCAAAAAGCAACATGAAGAATGTATGCTCTTCAAGAAGCAGAAGATGTTGGTAACCCATCAGTAATTCAAGGTATGTTAATTGTCATGAATTCTTGGGTTAAAGTATTGTTTGACTCTGGAGCATCGCATTCTTTTATATCCACTTCATGTGTATGAAGTTTGGGTTTGGAGCTTGAAACGTTAGAGATAGCTGTGAGTGTTGCTTCACCCTTAGGTGGTCAAACCCGAGTAAATCTAGTATGTAAATCTTGTGAACTAAAAATCTCCGGCTCATATTTGATCTGTGATCTAAGGGTTATGGAAATGTCTGATTTTGACGTTATTCTAAGAATGGATTGGTTATCGGTTCATCGAGCTATTATCGACTGTTATCGTAAAACGGTGACAACATCCTCCCTGAATGGCACGGGAATTCAATTTAAAGGAGATAGACAAGATTCTTTAACTCCAAGGTGTCGCAAATCGTGGAGGCATGATCAACTAACTGGTTGGTTGGCAAGCTTAATTTTGGAATATGAAAATTGAAAAGATCCAGGATTACCCCATGTGGTGTGTGAGTACACTGACGTTTTCCCTGACAAATTACCGGGACTACCCCCAAAATGGGACATAGATTTTACGTTCCAGCCCCAACCTGGAACTTCACCACTTTATGTGGCAGCGCATTGTATGGCGCCAGATGAACTTCGGGAACTGAAGGAGCAATTGAAAGAATTGTCAGATAAAAAGTTCACCAGACCAAGTACGTCCCCATGGGAGCGCCAGCATTATTCGCAAAGAAGAAGGATGGAACCTTGAGATTATGCATTGGTTACCGACAACTAAATCGAGTCACTATTAAAAATCGATATCCATTACCAAGAATTGATGACTTGTTTCATTAATTAACAGGTTCAAAATGTTTTTTCAAAATTGACCTTAGGTCTGGATATTACTAATTGTGTCAAAGAAGAAGATATACCTAAGACTGCTTTTCGAACCCGTTATTGCCACTATGCCATTTGGTTTGACAAATGCGCCAGGGGTATTCATGAGTTTGATGAACAAAATTTTTACACCTTATTTGGACCAATTTGTGGTAGTATTCATTGACGATATTTTGATATACTCACGATCGGAGGAAGATCACGAGCAGCATTTGAGAGCCGCTTTGCAAATTTTAAGGGAGAACAAATTGTATGCTAAAGCTAGCAAATGTGAATTTTGGTTCAAGGAAGTAAAATTCTTAGGTCATGTTGTGCCTGAATCAGGAATATCAATGGATCTTGCTAAACTAGAAGCAGTAATGGAATGGAAACAACCTAAGAATACATTTAAGGTTCGTAGTTTCTTGGGATTAGCAGGTTATTATAGGAGATTCATTCAAGATTTCTCCAAATTAGCCAAAGCCGATGACACGCCTAACACAAAAAGGGGTAAAGTTTGAATGGAATGAGACTTGTGACACAAAAATGGGTAAAGTTTGAATGGAACGAAACTTGTGAACAATCATTTCAAGAACTCGAGAAGAGACTAACAAGCGCTCCTATACTAATCATACCCGAACGTGACATTGGGTACACAGTTTATTGTGATGCCTCTAAAGAAGGGTTTGGTAGTGTGTTAATGCAAAACGGGAAGGTAGTGGCTTATGGGTCAAGACAACTGAAGAATCATGAGAAAAATTACCCTACCCACGATTTGAAATTGGTGGTTGTGGTTTATGTGCTTAAGACTTGGCGACATTACCTTTATGGCGAAAAGTTCGAGAAATTTACTGACCACAAAAGCTTGAAATACTTGTTTACACAGAGAGATTTGAACATGAGACAGAGACGCTGGATGAAGTGCCTTGAAGATTATCAATTCACTTTGTCTTATCATCCTCGAAAGGCTAATGTTTTAACAGATGCACTAAGTCGAAAGACGAGAGATCGTGGCCAACATATCAATTAAAGAGTATTGTGAATGAGTTTAGATTACAACCAGAGACTCAAAATGGAAAGGTTAGGTTGTTTGCTATAGTTACAACGCCTTAACTTCTTACCAAAGTGCTGGAAGCTCAAAGATTTGATCAGGAGACCGACTTCATTAAGGCACAGAAGAGTCTTCACCGGATTGGATGCTTTACCAAGACAGTATTTTAAGATATTTAGGTAGAATTTTTGTGCCAAAATTGAGAGAAGTACTAAAAGAATTTCACCATTCAATTTTTGCGGTTCATCCGGGAGAAAACAAGATGTACCAGGATCTCATGCGAGAGTATTGGTGGAGTGGAATGAAGGACGTTGCTCAATTCGTATCTAAGTGCTTAATGTGTCAGCAAGTGAAGGCAGAACATCAGAAGTAGGCAGGGAAACTCCAACCTTTACCAATACCTGAATGGAAATGGGAACACATAACAATGGATTTTGTAATGGGACTATCCCGGTCGCCTTCATGATGCCATTTTGGTTGTGGTTGATTGGTTAATTAAGACAACACATTTCCTACCAGTAGGACCAGCAGACACACTCGAATAATTAAGTTGATTATTTATTCGAGAAATCATTAGGTTGCACGGAGTACCAGTCTCGATAGTGTCAGATCGTGATCCTCGTTTTACGTCACAATTTTGGCATAGTTTGCAAAAAGCTACGGGTACAGAGTTGTGTTTTAGTACGGCTTTTCGCCCTCAAACTGACGGTCAATCAAAAAAAAAACAATTCAGACTTTAGAAGACATACTTCGTGCTTGTGTGATGGATTTCAAGGGTAGTTGGGAGAGACACTTACCACTAGTTGAATTCTCTTACAATAATAGTTTTCAAGCAAGTATTGGTATGGCACCGTATGAGGCTCTGTACAGACAGCCTTGTCGATCACCAATATGTTGGACGGAAGTCGGAGAAGCACCTCTTTTAGGGTTAGAGTTAGTTCAAGAAACTGCCGAGAAGGTGAAATTAATTAGACAAACACTTGAGACCGCTCAGAGTAGGCAAGAAAGTTATGCAGATCAAAGGAGAAGACCATTTTCATTTCAAGTTGGAGATCACGTGTTTCTAAAAATACAACCTTGTCGAGGAGTTTTTTGTTTCGGAAAGAAGGGAAAGCTGTCGCCTCGCTTCATTGGGCCTTTTGATATTTTGGACAACGTAGGAGAGGTGACGTACCGTTTGGCTCTACCACCTAAACTGGTTAGGGTACATAATATTTTCTACATCTCTATGCTGCCGAAATACGAGCCGCACCCTTCTCGCATCATCAATTGGGGGGAAATTAATCTTGATGAAGATGTGACATTGGAAGAAAAGCCTGTCAAAATTTTAGATCGTCGGGAGAAGAAATTAGGAGGTAAAACTATACCATTGGTTTGAGTTCTCTGGGGACATCGTGGGATGGAGTCGTCAACGTGGGAACGAGAAGATATGATACGTGCCAATTACCCTTAACTTTACAAATCTAATGGTACGAATTAATTTTGAGGACTATTTTTTTTTTTTTTTATTATTCTAGAAAAAAAAAAAAATGAATAAATTATTTTTATCCAGAGTCTACCTAATATTAGTGTATAAGTTAGTTCTAAATTAATACAAATACAAAAAAAAAAAAAAAAATTTCAGATTTTTGGTGGAAAAAAAAAAAAAAAAAAAAAAAAAAAAAAAAATTTCAGATTTTTGGTGGCAGTGTTGACACTTGTTTGCATGCATGTTATTATAGGATATAGGTTCGTATTATAACATTTGGTATTGAAAAATTCGATTTGATGAGATAGAATGATGAGAGAGAGAGAGAGAGAGCTTCAGGATGAACTCAGCCTTAGGATTGAATTCACACACACACACACACACACATATATATATGTATATGCAATAACTTTTGGTATTGGAAAATTTGATTTGACGTGATAGAATGATGAGAGAGCTCAGCCTTAGGATTGAATTCACAGATATATATGTATGTTAAAATTCAAGTATTATTGATTGATTATTGATTGATAGATACAAGATTGTTAATTACAATTCCTATACAATCTATATATAGAAGAAAATGTGGTAGTAGGTGTAGTGGAGGTGATAGTGGGTTAGGTGAAGTGGAGTGTGTGGTGAAGTGGAGGTAGGTGAAGTGGAGTTAAAGATGGGAAATTCTAACAGGCGTGGCTGCCTCGGCTATAAAACGGAGGCTGAGGCTGAGGCAGACGAGTCTGAAACCTCTGAACGCTCGGAGAGCTTGTCTCTGCAAATCTTGAAACACCCGGAAACCAACCCTTCGCTGAAAAACTCTGCCTCTGCGGAGAGAGAAACTGTGGAACACTTTGTTGCCATTCTGTCACCAACCCTTCCGAACATTACCAGTCTGAAATCGCTACTTCTCTGAAACACTTAGCAACCCAAAAACATGGCCTCTTCTTCCCGTCCAGCTACCCAGAACATGGCCTCTTCTTCCCGTGGTCTGCTTACTCTCTTTCCCGACCTCAACGAGTCCACAAGAGAGATAATCGGTGCTGTTGCCCTTGAACCTCAACCAAACGCCCCTGAGTTTGCTCCGTTGACCTTTCCTATGCGGTCTGTGCACACACACACACACACACACACACACACACATATATATATATATGTATATGCAATAACTTTTGGTATTGGAAAATTTGATTTGACGTGATAGAATGATGAGAGAGCTCAGCCTCAGGATTGAATTCACAGATATATATGTACATGCAGTAACTCTTGGTATTGGAAAAATTGATTTAACATGGTAGAATGATGAGAGAGAGAGAGAGAGAGAGAGAGAGAGAGAGAGAGCCTCAAGATGATGAACTCAGCCTCAGAATTGAATTCACACACACACACACACATACATATATATATGTACATGCTTGCATTCGGAGAACATAAATGGAAAATAAAGAATTCGGTGAGCATGCTAAGCGAAGTAGAGAGAAGAAGAAGAGTAGACGATCAAGAAAGTTAAAATTTTTTTCCTAACATTTCAATCCTATTACTATGTAAGAAAACCCTCTCATTTTTTTTTCAATTGTTAAATTTTCAGATTTATATTCATAGCCAAATTTTTAGATAAGATCTTGTTTATGTATGTAAATTTGTGACTTGTATATTAAATATTTGAAGGTTATTTTTATGTTAGTAGCCACAAAATCATGATATAATTGTGGAATTAGCCTTGCATGTGTAGTTTATGTCCTTAAAGAGATGATTAAAGATTTTATCTAGTTTGATTATATAACTCTTAAATCTGCCAGAAACTTGTACAAATTTTTAGACAATTTTATACTCAAAATTTTGAGATGATTTCTTCTACAAAGTTGTTGAGAATAATGTCTAGTTCATCTAGGAATTTTTGTAACAATTATTTGAGTTTTGTACGAATTTAAACAAAATTTTAACTAAATTTGGAACTGTAGACAAATTTTATTATATGTTTGAAAAATCATTAAAAATTCTATATTAAACCAAATCTGGTAATTTCTAAATAAAAAATGAAATTTGAGAAGTCTAGTTTCATAATAAATTTTTAGATCATTGAATTGATTTATAAATTTAAGTATGGAATTAATATAAGAAAATATGATAAATCTGTGTCATAAACTTTCTTAGAATGTTACAGAATTATTTATTACTTATTTTTGTGAAATGCTTTCTGAAAAATGACCATAACATGTTTATTGAATATTCTATAGATTTTCACGGATTTTAGAATTGTATAAATAATTTATTTATAATTTTAATTACAAAAACTATATTCTGAAAAATTCTGGGCAGATTAAGGGACCAAGTTTATCACTTCAATTATTTATTTGGACTAAAATTATATATTGTGCTAGTCTAATTAATTAAATCTTGTAAAGTAGTAGTCCATGCATGTGTGATATTGTGGTCCATTTTTAAGTATTTAAAATTATCATTCATACTATGGTTTAATTTAATTGTTTATTTTAATTTTGTACATTAGTTGACGTGTAATATTTCTGTTGGAAATTTTAATGAAATAGTATAACACTTGCGTTGATTAAAAATTGTAATTATTGGTGATTAATATAAATAAGTAAAATGATTAACGGCATATATAAAATTAATGATTAAGGGTTAATACTGGTAGTTCAGGGAGAGCCTTGGTTTTTGATAATTTTTACATAATTGTGTCGCGAAACCCTAAGATGGCATGGGACTTATTTGAATCCTTATCAGTATTTTGTTTTGGGATGAGGGTGGATGTAAGGGTGGCATGTAGGGCAGTTACATACCCCTGGCAGATCGTTCCCTTGGGGTAGACCACAGATGTCACGGCTTGGGTATATAACTCTAGGTGTGGACATCTTTGGTAGTTCTTGAATATTTGATCAAGGGGGGATTTTCAAATTAACCATGGCCATAACGTAGTGGTTGGTAAGAAAGTCTCTTTGGTGAGATTTTGAACGTCACCTAAACTATTAAAAGTGTTGAAATTATTTTAATTGTTGTCATATTATTATGTTATTAATTCCGTCTTTCCTCTTAATTGTCATGATTATTAATCTGATTATTTTCTCTAAAAAAGAACGGTACGGTGGTTATGATTTCTTACTGTGTTGCAAAACTCATGGCATATATTTTGTTGCCATGGCGTTTTATGCCAGATTTTGACGAGGAAGGCATGGAAGATGAAATTGGAGCTACTGCTAATATAGAGCCTTGGCTAACTTGAAGTTAAGACTTTAGCAAAATAAGATTTTACTATCTTATGTATTAGGATGTATAATGTTAAATGTTGTATGTGGACTTTTAAATTTTCTTTAATTTAGTGCTGTTAAACTTTTGACTGTGTAAGAAATTTAAATTTTCCTTTTAAGATGTTAAAATTTTAATTTAATAAGTTATTTTGTTATTTAAATTCTTGATGTTCCAAAAATTTTGGGGCATCACACAGGATACAAACGATATTCAATACAATGCAACAATTGAAACCACAAACGAGCATACCGCCCGAAAATCATGAAGATGAGGGGGAGGAGGGGGACAAGCCAAACTACGCATCACGTAGAAAGGGTGAAAGATACAATCCAAACTACGCCTTGCGTAGAAAGGGGGAAAGAAAGCCAGATTACACCAAACTATGCCTCGCGTAGAATGGGTGAAAGATACAAACCAAAGTACACATCATGTAGAAAGAGGGAATACAAACCAGAACACACCATCGGGTGATAAGGGTGGATGTAACAAGATGATACATGCAAGATGCATATGAATGCGATGCAATTGCTGTAGTTGATACGAAATACAATGTGATGCATGTTCCATGCAATGAAATAGAAAAGATGAGCAAAAGCGGTGTCTTCGAAAGCACCTCACCGGGGAGCGGGGGAGGGGGGAAGAAATAGCAAGGAACACCTTACAATGCTCGGGGATATGCCATCACATATCCTGAGATAAAAAAACCTCTCGGGGTCGCGTCTTGAGAAAACTCGCTCAGGGTTGTGTTCTTGCACGCCCTGAGATAAAATCTACTCGGGAACGTGTCTCACACGTCTTGAGAAAACCGCTCAGGGTTGTGTTCTTGCACGCCCTGAGATAAAAGCTGCTTGAGAATGTGTCTCATGCGTCTTTAGAAAATCGCTCAGGGTCGTGTTCCTGCACGCCCAGAGATAAAAACCGCTTGGGAACGCATCTTTCGCATCCTGAGAAAATCACTAGTGAACATGCTCCTACATGTTCTGGGAAAAGCCTGGGGGACAATGATCCTAAACGCATTTCAGCGTAAAAAACGATAGATGATACAAGATAATGCATGATGCAAATGGATACAATGGGTGCGATAGACGACATGGTATGTGCGATAAGCAATGTAGTGGATGATGTTTAGGCAATGCAATAGAATAAACAAAGAAAGCGGCGCCTTAGAAGGCACCTCATGGCCGGAGTGGCGATGAACTGCCTTACTTTGACGGGGATCTTTATTCTGTTTTTCCAAACTTCCACCTTCGACTTACAGTTCAAACGTCCTCAAATGCAGAAAAGAGGGTAAAACCTGCTTGAGCTCGAGGTCGAGGCACATTCACACTTCAGAAAAATGCGCGGGACTTGGAACAGTGCATCCAGAATGCAACCGGAATTTTTTGAAGTTAAACTAAACTCAAATACTTCAATTTTCCCTCTTTAAGATGAATACATGATCATCCATGCACAGAGTAGGCAAATTTCCAGCAAAAACACACTTTGAGTGGTCGGCCGGCTAAAAGATGAGCCGACTGTATAAACTAATAGCCGGCTGGCCAAACGTATTGACTTCAGTGGCAGTTATGGGATTTCACACTCGAGGCTCTTTTAAACACATTTTTGGCTCTGCATTTCACATATGTATGATTCGAAAACTCCCTCCCTCTCTCTCTCTCTAGATTTTCATTTTATTCGCTTTACCCAGCGATCCTCGCAAACTTTTTCTTGAAAACCCTTTTGACCCTCTATATTTTGAACCAATTAGATTTTGATTTGGTTGAGTTTTGGGTTTCTCATTGTTTTTGGGCTTGTTTCTCACGGGTTCTCTTGGTTTTTCTGTACTCACTCTTGAGTTCTCACTTTTCCCACTCATTCTCTCTCCTAGGGTTTGGTTTTGGGTTTTTCACTTCTCATTTTTCTTGCTTTTCTCTCACCAGCAATTAGATTTTCCATGGCTGATGATGTTCCACAGGGTGGTGCCCCTTCTGTCATCCTTGAGGGTGGCGTACCACTAGCAGATCTTAAGGCACCCATTCTTTTGCGTGCCGCGGATGTAGAGGACCCGAGGTTAGAGGATGCAGACATTGTGACAGGGGACATTCTTGCTGATATTACTACGGAGGAGATTTAGCCTCCTGAGCTTGAGTTGCCACCACTGAGGGAGAGGCCATTTGATCTGGCTACTTACCACTCGCGTACTCACACGATGGCTTTCGACGGTATGCTGAGATTCGATGATTTTGAACAGGACATGCCTGAGGACTTTCTTTTACGAGAGCGCACATTGCATCTCTCCTACGATACTTCTGAGGTAAAAACCTTTATCCCTTCATGTACTGTGCTTTGACATTCATTATAGTCTTTCATCCAACCATAAATTAATAAATTCTTCTTTCACTACAGTATGTTGCTTACTCTTGGACAGGTTATAGGGTCGTGATGGCGAGGGATTGGTACTAGGTGCTCCTCGCCAAGGTTTGAGAGATGGTAGATGATGTAGGCTTTGACCTTTTTTACTCTGGGCTTTCACAGTTACAGGCGAGCTGGCCTCTACTTGGCGCCTTGGTGGAGAGGTGGTGGGACACCACCAACTCCTTCCACTTCTTCTCCATAGGGGAGATGACGATGACGCCCTATGATTTTTCCATGATCATCGGGCTACCAGTAGGGGGTGATCCAATCCCCTTTCACTTGGACATGGGCCAGTGGCGGGCCGCTTGGGTTCATTGCACTCCCCCAGTTGGATAGGCCATCCATGGTACAATATAGTTGGTTCTACAACAACTTCTATGGGAGTCAGCTAACGATTCAGGAGCAGGTGGAGCAATATACACGAGGATTCCTTATATATCTTCTTGGCACCACTCTGTTTGCGAACAGGTGGAACACCGTGGGTTTATACCTTCTGAGTGCACTAGTGGTGTTGCCATGGGTTCGCTTCTATAACTGGGGCGGTGCTGGCCTCGCCATCCTATATAGTTACACGAGTTTCGGTTCCCGTAAGAAAGGGAACAAGGTTGGCTGCTACTGGAGAGCTTGGCAGGTATGTCCTGCACTTTTATTTTCAATTTATGTTGTGAATTATGCTTTCTGCTTTGCATTTTTTTACCTTTATTATCATTTGTTCCTGTTAACTTACAAATTGTTCTGTTCTTGCAGCTCTGGGCCTACGCTTATTTTCCTGCTCTTGCCCCGATTCCGAAGGATGAGGTGGCACCAACTGTGCCTTGCTGGAGGTTGTACGATGGCAAGTGCTACCCCCGTTGCTGCACCGTCACTACTTTTGCTTTCTACCGTCACTTTTTTGATATAGTGATGAGTGATGACCCATGAGGTAATTGAAACTCATACTCATTTTTATTCCATGCCTATTGCTTTGGCCCATACTTTGACAACTGACTTCAACTGTGAATCCTCTGTTTGCAGATCACTTGGTAGCCTTGGGTGATTATGCTCGCTGGGACAAGAGACGACTACGCCGATTCTTGGGAGACCTCCCGGTCGAGGATTTTGCTGGAGGGCTCTTTTCACAGGACTTGGTATTTAGGGGAGCACTTTGTGCGCCAGACTCTGGACCTTGCCGGCCCTATTGTTCCTGCTCCCCCTTCTTCATTTATGAGGACTGCCGACAGTCTCCTTGTCGAGGCTATTGTGACATTCATGGTAGGGCAGGACAGTGATCTGTACCGCAGGACAGGGGACCACACTACTTTTATTTGAACCCACCCTATGCCGCCTTTGACTAGAGTTTGCGCGGGTGACGGCGCTGACGTACCTGCCACTGGAGGTGCTGTTCTTGTAGCTAAGCTTGACGCTGGAGGCGTTGCCCCTGTTGTTCATATGGCCAGTCTTCCTGTGATCCTGACTGTGATCACTTACTGGTGGCCGAATGATACATCCCATCAGATTCCATTCGAGCATTGGAGGAGCGTATGTTCAAGACCCTGATGTCTAGCATGTATGCACTTTGTCTTGTAGTTTGCATTTCCTACTGCCTTTTCTCTGTATGCTGATGTTCAAGCTCAATTGTAGGTGCCGGTGGGCTATGTGGACGACCTTTTCGAGCTGGTTGATTCCTTAGTTCACATGGTGCAGAGGAGGGAGGCATTGCTCGCTTGTCACTGTCATCAGGTATCCTATTTTTCTCATTTGACATGCTCTGATTCCCTTTGGCCATACTCATACTGATTCTGCACCAAGCTATTTTGATACTCTATTTCCTGCAAACCCTTTTTAGCCTCCGCCTTCGCCTCCACTAGTGGCACTAGTGATATCCCCTCCAGTTGAGGGGAGGAGGGATAGACAAGTTCCTGCAGGTGGCAGAGGCAGTGGAGGTCGAGGTAGGGCCAGGGGTGCCCGAAGTCGGAGCAGAGATAGAGAGTCTCGGGTGCGAGAGACCTCCTCGTCCTTAGAGAGGACCTTGACCGGAGATGATACCGAGACCAGGGACACCGAGACGGTGGGTGATCATTTTGAGTCTGAGGGTAGAGAGGATGATATTGGCACAGAGTCACATTCCTCTGATGACATCAGTGTTGATGGTGATAGCGATACTGAGTCCTGTCCCTGAAAGAGGACGAAAAGGGCTTCTCGACGTACCTGACACGACTAACATTGACTTTGCACTCCTTTTTTCTCTTTTCTTTTGCTTTGTAGTTCAAAACTTATGTAGCTGCAGATAGATTCTTTACTTTTTGTTGCTTTCTTTTCTTTTTTGACAACTTGTATTTTCTTTTGTAAAAACTATGATTGGGGTTTGACCCTGCAGTTTATGAAAGAAAGAATTTTGTTTTGCATTTCATGTTGGGAATGGCACAACACTTTGAGCACAAAACGATTTATTTCTGAAATTGAAATTGAGAATGAGTTCTTAATCGGATATTGAGCCTACGACCAACCAAAGTACAAAATACGACTCAACAAATGAAAAACAAAGTAAAAACAACCTAAACACACTTATTTACACTTACCAAAAACAAAATGACTCAAAACAAGACTCAAAACAAATAGGACAGACATAATACTGATGCCAAACTATTTGGTCGGCACAGTTGGCCGGCCGGCCAATTGAATGTATGGTTGGCTGATGAAATGGCTGGCTGGCCAGCCAAGAAATACAACTAGACAGCTGGCAAGAGCTGTCAGCCACTCACATACCCCTATTTCCTATAAAAGTCTCCTCTTGCTACTTTTTACGACAGAACAACACTTTTCGATAGTTTCCTCTGAAAATAGAGATTTTTCTTGTTGATAGGCTCAAAGATTGGATGGCCACTTTGGATGGCACAGAAAAGGTGAATTTCAACAGTTTTGGCATAAACACTCTTTTTTCCTTGAGCCACACTCTGCTTTGTTTTCCGTTTCTCCATGCTGTTGCCCCCTGTTGGGACCCGTTTACTCATGTGTTTTGCTTTGGAATGCAAGAGATGTGTCCTACTCTTGAAGAGTTTCAAGCGCTAATGGAGTCTCGTCGCAATGAAGAGATCATGCCTCAACCCCTCTTTGGCCATACACGAGCTCTTGAACAGATGTGTGGCCTCTCTTTCAATGAGGCTAAATCATTGGCTCACGATGGAGAATTGGACATTCCTAGCTTGATTCGCCGTTTCTCCGGTATCAGAAATAGGCGTGATCTTCTTTGGCAAGGTTATCGCCAACACGCTCTCTGCTTGTGCTTGCTTGCCCATTATCTTCTTGCCCCTAGTGTTAGCGGAGTCAGTATTAGATTGATCGAAGTGGCCCAACGCCTTAAAGAGGGCCGAAGCTGTATAGGCTTGGCACTGGCCGAAACCTTAATGGGTTTGGATGCTTTCCACTGGCGAGAGACTTTTTGGTTTGCGGGGAGTCCACTGCTTCTCCAGGTATTGTTTCCCACCCTTTCTCATTTGTCCTTTCTCATTTGTCCTTTCTCACATCACTTTAGCACTCAATCTCTATTTTCTCTCAAAAAGTCCTTTTCTTACTTTTTCTCTCAACGCACATCTCTATTTTTTTTATTTTTAAATCATTTCCAAGTGTGGCTGATGGATAAGCTGAAAGTTGTGGACCCTTGCTCCGAGTGCTCTGTTAGATCCTACTTCTTTTGCTCACAACTGGTGAGCTTTCCCACAGAGGGGTTGTAAGTTTCTTAACACATTTTTTTGGGGATGTAATTGTGTAAACATTTTTGCGTGCTGAAGAATAATCTGGTTTGGTTCTTTACTTTATTAATTTTCTCCTGATTATATCTGAAAATGGTTCCTAATTTGAGGCTTTTGAGCTCCAGTAATTCTCTGTGTATGCTTTATTTTGTGATTGTGAAAATTCATAGAATTTTTGGGTTAAGTTTCTGGATATCTTTCAGTATAAATGTAAGTTTTTTGGTCTTATTGTCAAATTCATGGATTTTGGGTTGTATATGGGGTTAGGTTGTGCTTTGTTATTTAGGGTTTGTGATTTTGTAGTTGGTCTCTTCCACTTAACTCTGAAGGAGGCTAGCAAGTGAAAATGAATTTCTGACCACTGCACATACTTATATATGTTAAATTTATGTATGTTTTCTTCATATAAGTAGGTTCCTCCTTCATTAGGATGGAATTTCCGTCGATGGCACCAAACCGATAGACTACTCTTTGATGATAAAAAAATGAGAGACAAGACCAAGTTGATCACACCACAAAAGGGAAAACTCCATATAGGGCTCTTACAAATGATAAAAGAACATCTATATGTACCAACGTAGGGAAACAGAGAACACAGCACACAAACAGATGTCCTAACTTCAATTTGCTAGATAACTAATGATAACAAATCAACTGGAAGAGAGTATGGATTCGAAATGAAAGGATTTGGCACTATTACAAGATTTGGTTGTTTAAAGACTACCTCAGTTTTAGATTTGGTTGTTCATATATGAATTTCAACACATTAGAGTAATCCACTATAAATGTAAAAATAGTTATTTCAAATCATTCATGCTAAGGTTGAAATTCTACAAGTACCGTAATAAGTAATTCTCTTTGATCTCTCATTTACCTTCTCCTTTAGTTTCTCAATCCACCAACAATAGATTAATCTACTAAAATTATAACAATAGCATGCAGCCGAAATGTATACATCAATAATTCCAACTGTTTGTTCACTATGTTTTACAGTGTCAGCTATGTTAGATGCAGAGTATGTGTGATTGTTTTATCTTCCCCAGCCCCAAGGACAAAGGTACAAAACTAAATATTCATATTTATAAAAAATAAAAAAAATCCAGGTTTCTTTCCTAGAGTGAAAACTGTTTGGCATGCGTACTTAACTCATATTGAGCAGCCAAGAGATTAAAGGGATGTAGTAATGGCTGTCTATGTATACGTGTGTATTCTATAACTCGGTTTGCTCTCTTCCACTTAACTCTAAAGGTGGATAGCGAGTGAAAATGAATTTCTGACCACTGCACATGCTTATATATGTTAAATTTATTTATGTTTGTTTCAGATATGTAGGTTCCTCCTTCCCACTTGAATTCTGCTTCACTGTTTATATCAAACTTCAAATGGGGTATTCTCAATTTTGTTGTTCTTTTCAAATCAATAGGTAAATGCTCACCTCAGTTTTTTTTATTTTATTTTTATTTTTTGTTCTTTTCTGGACTATTGATCAGTCAGTAGTTACAACAATTGTTGTTTCGCTACGTAGTGGGTCTCTTTGTGCACCAAAAATAAACACTAAATTATACCCAAATTCCTAAGAATAATAGGAAGTCTAGGTAGATCCACAAGGACTAATGTAAAATTAAACTAATTTAACTTGCAAGATTCCTAAAGTAATTTTGATAAAAAGATTGATGAGAATTATATTGAAACTAGAATTAAAATGAAAGAGAAATTAAATTAACAATGAATATTAAAGTTGGTGAAATTGATTTGGGGAAAAATCCTGGGGCAATGAATACGCCACTAGTTACATAAATAGGATTCAAAACAGGGAATTGATTGTGATAAAAGTTTGAACCACCAAATGTTTCACAACTACAAGTTTGAAACATTGATCAAGAGAATTATCGCGTTCAACGTATAGGCATGAGTCATCTCAAGCAGTACGAGTCGTTTGCTCTAAACTACGGTAGCAACACGACTCGTCTCTCGTAGCATGACTCGTCTTATACTTTGAACACAACTACAAAGAAAACTAGTGTATGGAAAGCATTTAACAATCACAGAAAGTAAAATACTTGAAGAGATGAAAAGAGATATTATTAAAAACTTCTAAAACATCCATACACTTGTTCAAATTGTTACACGAATCAAACTCAAGGAATAACCCCTATTTACTTGGTTAAGGTTTCATCAAAACCCTAGAAAGAGGGAGAATAGCCACTCATGGAGGAGTGAGAAGATGATGAAGAGGTTGAAGCCACCATGGAAGACCTTCAATCCTTCAAGTCCAAAGCTTGCAAAACCCTAGCCTCCTTGTGCCTCTTTTTCAAGAATTTTTTGAACCCTTCAATAGCCTTCTTTTTTTTGCTTGTAAAAGTACAAAGCGCACATGACAGGTAGGATTACTTACCACTATACTACAACGACCACTAAGAAAGAGTTACTGGCAGTGGTTTTTACACTGGACAAGTTCCGGTCTTATTAAATGCCTAATGTATTAAAATATACTATCATCAATGATTATAGGTTTGGGCACAGGAGAGATTGGTTCGCATCGCCCCAAGTAAGAAGTGCAACATTGCTGATGGCGAGCATGCCATAGGTCTGGGAGAGCAGGAGTTACCACCTGGCCCTTGAGCTAGTAAGTGGAGGGTTCGGTTCAGCCATGGGGTGATATCGACTAATGTTAGTGTCATTTTTAAGGACCGATTCGACCATATGATAGAGGGTGATGTTTAAAATTTTTTATGTCAAGGTCATTTCATGTTTTTAAACTTGTAATTTATGGATCGTTGTCTAATCTAATGTTTGTTATTTTAGTTCATATGGCAGCCTTACGGGAGAGATGATAAGGTCATTGTCGGCTTGCCATCATACTATCGCATTGATCAAGAGATATGGATGGCACGAGTGCCATTTATTTGCTTTGATATCATTGAGTGGCATCTCCCGGATAGTGTACTTAGACTACTTGGACGACTCAGGGTGTGCTTGACCGCTTTAACACAAACTTTGCGTTGCATTTTAAAGATTGACATGGCAAAATGGCCATTGATTGAGCAAAGGAATATCAAAACGTTACGAATGATTGGAACAATAGACGTAACACCATTGTCCACGTTGAGAGGAGCGATCAAGTGCTTACATCTTCCGACCCGTACATGTTATAGTTTCAGTGACATAAATGTCTAGTGTTGAGTAATGCGAGCGACATTGCTATGTTCGGATACAAAGGAGTGGGGATAGTTTAGAGGGATTGGTGAGTATCTTATTATTATAATGTGAATTGTTTCTTTTTAAGTTTGCTTCGATGGTTACGTAACATAACTACATTTCATTATAGATACGTACATCTGCGAGGGCATATCAATTGGCAGAGGCTGCCCATATGAGACGTGATGGTAGTGTGGCATTGGATTCCATTGTTGAGATATGAGAGTTATTGTATGATGCTTTGCAACAGGCACATCGACATGATTGACTAGATTTCGGCCACTTTGGTGAGGATCCTTCCATGACAGTACATATTCCTTCAATTGAGCCATCAATATCAATGCCTTCATTTTACCCTACCCCACCTCATGCACATCAGTATGACCATATGGATTTTGACCACTTTGGTGAGGGGCCTTTCATGGGGGTGTCAACTGATGTTCCATTTACATCAGTGCCTCCACCTCAGACTTCCCCACCTTAACCTACTCATTACAAATCGCAGTCTTCTCCCTAGTTGTATCCTCTCACGTCCCAACATACTCCCATAGAACATGGCCAGATATTGGACCACTCTTGGTCACCACGCCCGTATAGGACAGAGGTTATTACCCCAACCACTTCCTTACCACAACTGTCCACTATAGGTGTCTACTACGTTTCCCCCCACTTCGACATTGACAGCACCCGATCCTTTGACAGTAAATTCCTCTTCCACACCACCTTCATCCACTTTTGTTGGGACTACGTCAGTAGCATCTCCCTTACCACCACTATCCACTATAGGTGTGTGTCTACTATGATTCCCTTCACTTCAACATTAACATCAACCGGTCCTTTGACAGTACATTCCTCTTCCACACCACCTCCGTCCACTTTTGTCAGGACTATGTCAGTAGCATCTCCTATCGCACATACAACCTCGATCTACCATGATGATGCACTCATTACTCAGGACTTCCACATTGAGGGCGAGGGAGAGGTCCTTGCCCCTACTAGAGGGAGAGGTAGGGGTAGAGGTCGTGACGGCCGTCGAGGCCGAGGTATATACCATGATAGTAGTGCACTGGATATTCACAGCTCATTGCAGTATCCCAGGCTTTGACGGATGTGGTATCAAAGATTTTTAGTGCACACTTTGGTGATGGGAAGCCACATTCTTCATAGGTAGGCAAGGGAGTGCCACATGCAGCATTGCAAGATATTCAGAGAGTATATAGTAAGAGACCTAGGAGAGAGACGCATGGAAGGGGTTGTGGAACTGGGGGAAAATTAGCACACTAGTAAGTATCTTCACACATTTAGAAGAAAGTTGTACAAAATTGGCCTACTCTAATATGGGTGAGACCATGTATATATATAATAAATATAAGATATACAAGGAAAAAGGAATTAAATAATTATACAATCAAATCCTAAAATCAAATCCCTCAAATCCTAAAATCAAATCCCTCAATACACATAATTTATAGAAATTATGGGATATCCTAAATACACAATATTCTATATTCCAACACTTCCCTTCAAGCTGGATCAAAGATGTCAACCAAACCCAGCTTGCCAATGGAAGACCGAAGTAGGGATGGTCCTACAGATTTGGTGAAGATGTCGGCAGTTTGATAAGAAGATGGAACAAACGAGGGACATACAATTCTAGCTCTAACCTTTTCTCGGATGAAATGAATATCAACTTCAATATGCTTAGTACGCTTATGAAGCACAGAGTCGAAGGCAAGTAAGATGGTAGACTTATTGTCACAAAATATCTTGTAGGAAATATTCTCGTCAAAGCCTAACTCAGTAAGAATGGACCGAAGCCATAGTAACTCACATGTTCCATGAGCCATGGCTCGGTACTTAGCTTCAACAGATGATCGAGAAACAACCGCGTGTTTTTTGCTTTTCCAGGACAGAAGATGGGTACCAAGGAAAGTGCAAACCCCAGAAGTTGAACGTTTGTCAGTCAATGAACTTGCATAGTCTGCATCAGTAAAACAGGACAATCTTGTTTGAATCCCACCATTAAAGAATAAACCCAAACCTGAACATGACTTGAGATATCTCAAGATGTGGTGAACAGTATCAAGGTGAGCAGTACGAGATGAACGCATAAACTGACTAACCACACTCACCGCAAATGTCAAATCTGGTTGTGTATTAGTCAAATAGATCAAACGTCCTACCAATCTCTGGTAACGAAAGGGATCGGAAAGTAACTCACCGGACTCAGCCGAAAGTTTCAGATTTGGATCCATAGAAGTAGATGCAGGCTTGCACCCCATCATACCGGTGCCCCAAAGATCTGAAGTATACTTCCGTTGGGACAATGATATCCCACTGCGAGAACAAGATACTTCAATCCCTAAGAAATATTTGAGAGGACCTAAGTCCTTGATGTCAAATACTCAACTAAATTCTTGTTTTACCTTACCAATACCAATGGTGTCATCTCCTGTAAGGATGATATCATCCACATAGACCAACAAAATAATACATCGACCATTGGACTGACGACGAATGAAGCATGTATGGTCAGAGTGACACTAAATAAAATCCATGGATAGAATAACAGAGCTGAAACAGTGGAACCATGCTCGAGGAGATGGCTTCAAGCCATAAAGAGACTTACGTAGATGATAGACCTTGCCAGCATACTCCCCCTTAGCCCGAAACCCGGGTGGAGAATCCATGTAGATCGTCTCAAGTAAATCTCCATGTAGAAAAGCATCCCTGACATCAAGTTGATGAAGGGACCAAGAAGAAATGGTAGCCAAGGAAATAAGTAAACGAATAGTGGTCAATTTAGCCACTGGTGCAAATGTAGCCCCAAAATCCTTGCCAGGAACCTAGGTAAAGCCTTTAGCAACAAGACGAGCTTTATATCGTTCCACTGTACCATCAGCCAAGTATTTGACAGTAAAAACCCACTTGCACCCAACAGTCATCTCACCAGAAGGTAAAGAGACAAGATCCCAAGTATGATTATGCTCCAAAGCAGCCATTTCAGTTTGCAGAGCCGCAACCCACTGGGGATTTTGAAGAGCCTCAGACATAGATCGCAGGATAGAGACCGACTCAAGTTTTTCAAGAAAAGACCGATGAGAAGCTGAAAGGTCATCAAAACATAAAAGCTGGGAAATAGGGTGATTAGTACTACTAAACCAACCAAAACAATTAGGGGGACGGTGTTCACGGGTTGGATAACGGGAATGAGCTGGGGAGCAAATAGTAGGGGAGTACTTGGGCTTGAGGGCGAAGAAGATGCTGGAGGGGGCGGAGCATGAGGGCGACGAGAGTATGTCTGTAATGACGGAGGATTGGCAGGTGCAGATACAGGCGATGATGAGGAAGCAAATGAATCAATGATAGGAACAGTGCAAGCACTCGGTGACACAGCAGGAGGCGGTGCACTCGAGGCAGAATCTTGCAACACAGGGTTAGAACCAAAAAATGGCATATCTTCACAAAATGTGACATCCATAGAATGATAAAAACGACGAGACAACGGATCATAACACTTACAGCCTTTAGAGAGAGCTGAATAGCCCAAGAATATGCATTTAAGAGACTTATTATCTAACTGGTCCGAGTAGGACTACGATCCTAAACAAAACAAGTACAACCAAACACACGAGGCACAAGAGGAAATAACACGGTATCTGGATGAAGTAAGTGAAAAGGGGCCAACCCGTAAAGAATCCGACTCGGTGTCCGATTAATGAGGTAAACAGCAGTAAGCATAGCTATATGGCAGTAGGATTTAGGAACATTCATCCCACAAAGAAGACACTGGACAACAGACATAATATGACGGTTTTTACGTTCAGCAATCCCATTTTGTTCAGGGGTGTAAGTACAAGTGAGTTGCTGCAAAATTCCCTGCTAATTAATTTGGGAGCGAAATGCATTAGAGATGTACTCCCCCCCATTATTAGCATGAATATTGCGTACAACGGTGTGGAATTGGGTTTTGACCATTTGGAGAAATTGAATAAAAAGTGGAAGCACATCAGACTTCTTTTTAAGCAAATAAACCCAAGTACACCTAGAGTGGTCATCTATGAAAGTCACATAATACCGATGCCCAGAAAAAGCCAAAATAGGAGAAGGACCCCAGATATTAGAGTGAATAAGGTCAAACATACATGAGACGTGATACATGCGAGGAATATAAGAAGTACGAGTATGTTTAGACAGTTCACAAACAACACAATTAAACTGATGATCCTTGCAAGCTTTATTAAGTGACGGAAAAAGTAAACATAAATAATTAAAGTTTGCATGTCCTAAACTAGCATGTCACAAGGCTAAAGTCTGAAAAGAAAACACATAGCACAGCTGCTTGTAGGCCAGAAGTGGTAGGATGAGAAGGTGGTGGGTCCTTGAAGTAGTATAGCCTGTCGCGCTCAAACCCCCTACCAAAAATCTTCTTCAAAGTCAAGTCCTGTAATAAACAATGAGTAGATAAGAAAATAACATCACAATGAAGGTTTTTAGCAAGACAACTAACAGAGAGAAGATTATAAGCAAAACGGGGCACATATAATACAGACATAAGTGTAATATCAGATGACAAGGACACATCACCATTATGTTGGATATGTGAAATAAACCTACTAGCAAGACATACAGTCTGAGCGACAGCCGAGATAGGAGAGGATAAATAAGAAAATTCACCGGTCATATGATCATTAGTCCGAGAATCCAATACCCATGTAGGTGCAGTGTGAACATGAAAGGCTGTAGGAGTACCTGTAGCGAGTGTGGCAGTGGAAGTGACACTTGGAGATATAGTAGTGAATGAACCAAGTTGCTCTTGAAGGTGACCAATCTGAGATTGAAGCTGATGAAGATCAACAAAATGAGTTGGTTGAGGAGTACTAGATGTGTTGGCAATAACAGCAGTATGGAGAGGGCCTGAAAGGCGTGCCCTTGCAAAGCGTTGCTTCAACTCATAATGAAGCTTGAAGCACCGTGCTTGGACATGACCAGCTGCGCCATAATGGTGGCAAATAACCTTGCTACTAGAAGCACGAGAACTAAATTTGGCAGCAAGAGCCATCTGATCTGAAACTGAAGATGAGATAGGAACGGAGGAAGGAAGCAAAGCAACTGGTTAAATCAATTGACGACGATGCTCCTCGTTGTCAATAGTAGCAAAGGCCTCATATAAGGATGGCATAGGTGATGTGTTCAAAATTTGAATATGAAGAGACTCGAATTCAGGTTTTAAACCCATCAGAAATTGATAGGTGTGCTGGCGAGCAAGACGAGCAGACACAATAGAAGCGACAACAGCTGAAAAATCACTCAATGGCTCATACTGTGCTAACTCCTCCCAGCAAGACTGAAGATACCCAAAATATTCAGCAACTGTAAGGTGCAATTGTAAATATCCCATTGAACCTACTTAGAATCATCAGCGAGAGGTTGTGTCTTGTTTTCCAGAAGCCATCCAAAATTGCCTCTATCCCCAAGGTAGAGACGTATAGACCGACTCCAAGTAGCAAAGTTGCGACCATTAAGTAACACACTGGTAATCCGACGAACCGAAACATGGGAGGCAAGGGAAACATCTGAACGAGGCACCATATTTTGGGTTTGTGCAACAAAGTCAGACATTTTGAAACACCACGAAGCCAAAGTAGCAGCGTCACACCAAAGAGATGCTATTGAACAAACCGGTAGCCCAAGTAATAAGAAACACACATAGGTTGCTTACTACATCAGCAACACACGACCCTAAAAGGGTTAGAAACCAGCCCGGACCATCCTAGAAGGGTGCCGAACTACACAGAACCAGGACAAAGCCTGGTCGGCTGCTGTAGGAACCCCGGCAGTGACTGGAAAGGACTGTTGAGAGAGAGAGAGAAAGGGTTTCAGGTGGTGTAGGGTGGTTGGAGGGGGCTGGGTAGGTGAGTTGGCTACTAGGAAAGGGAGGAGAGGTTGGCGATGGTGATAGGAGGAGCGGCTAAGGTTTCTTTGGCTCTGATACTAAGAAGAAAGTTGTACAAAATTGGCTTACCCTAATTTGGGTGGGACCATGTCTATATATAATAAATATAAGATACATAGGAAAAGGGAATTAAATAATTACACAATCAAATCCTAAAATCAAATCTCTAAAATAACCGTAATTTATAGAAATCACGAGATCTCCTAAATACACAATATTCTATATTCCAACACATTTAAGTATATTTGTTTACCATATTATGTATAATTTATGTGTTAAGTGTTTACATGTGCATGTCAAGCTAAAACACAATACAATTTTCTGTCTTTTTTCTTCCTGCAGTTTTTCGAGTAAAGATTTTTACAATCACTTGTATCAAGTCAGTTACACATTAATATTCAAGATTTGAGTACTTTGTGATACTTGACATGTGTACTTATTGGTTTTATTCATCTTGGTTTCTCTTTCAATTGTTAATCTTGGATTCATCATCTTGGTTTGCAGGTTTTCTTTGGTCTCACTTGTGCACAATGGTTCTTCAACATATTTGTTGGATTCTTAGGCAAACCAATTGCAGCGGGCATAAAGATGATTGGCGTGGACACGTAACTTAGAAAATGCTGATTTTGGAATTAAAAGTACAAGCTTCGGCCTGGTAAAATAGCTCTAACTTCCTTATTCTGAAGCGAAAGACGATATTGAACACAAAGGATGATGTGCCATTACCTTGTTTGAGTAGAAGATCTAAAGGTTAAATGAAAATTTGGAATCTTACTATCACCAATTACTACCACCATTGTTGGTTTGCTTTGTAACATTCCAAATTTCAGTTTAATTTTCTTTAGTCCTCTTTTCAAAACTTGGAATTTTGCTATTGTTTATGACTATGCTGGAATTGAATGATTATGTAGAAACGGATGGAAGTGTAGAGGTTAGGATGGTAAGAATTAATGGCTTTATTCCAAAATTTGCAAGAATGCATACATTCATCTTCCAGACAAGCACACCCAGCAAGCAAATAAATTAGATATGTTGCAAGGCTGTGACTGTGAACCTATTTAAAATAATGTCTCAGTTGCATTTGTATGTGAGCAGAGTTGCATGGTTGGATTTATTTAGGCTGCTTTGGTCCAACTTGGTATTGTATGTTTTGACACCTCTCCTATTATTTATTTTCTTTTACATGTACAAGTGTTGCTTTATCAGTTGGTGTTCTTGAAATTGAATCGTATTTTTTTTCTGTGTCATTTTTTCTAGGCCAGTTCATTTATATGTGCTTATTTGATATTTTAAAAATTGCAGGTCAGGTGCAAATGTAAGCTTGCATGAAAGTGGAAGTTCTTGATAGGATGCAAAAACACATAAGAGAGGAGAATGTTGTAAGCGCTGTAGGATTTTTTTTTAACACAATAGTTTAAATTTCGTCAGTCTTTGTTCTTTTTACTAGCTCCATAGTGGTGAATAGAAATTGTGGCTGGGGATCTCCATGCTAAGCTGCAAAATGTTATCATTATTATAAGCATTTTTTTAATTAAACAGATGCAATGGGTGAGTGCAGGGTTGCTCTCCATCTCTCTGAAATTCAACTTTGTTCTACATTATCATGTTCTTTGTTTGTTTTGTTTTTGTACATGGTGATTCTATGCAAAAAGTTTGAAGGGCACCTCACCAGCAAATTGCCCGGAGACTATCATGTGCACCTCACCCTAGATTAAACAGACATGTAAGAGCAAGTGGCACATTGATAGGACGCATGGTTAGAGAATTAGAGACAAAGATGTGAGAAAAAGGCGAAAACGGCCCGTTTGGGGGGGCCAAAAAAAAAAAAAACAGCCACCAAACTACCCGGAGGCCATTGCGGGCACCTCCCCCTAGATTAAACAAACTTGTGAGAGCAAGCGGCATGTTGATAGGATGCACGGTTAGATAATTTGAGACAAAGAAGTGGAAAAAAAAAAAGGCGAAAACGGGCCGTTTGGGGGGCAAAAATAAAAACAGCCACCAAACTTCCCGGAGACCATCACAGGCACCTCCCTCTAGATTAAACAAACATGTAAGAGCAAGTAGCATGTTGATAGGACACACGGTTAGATAATTAGAGACAAAGATGTGAAAAAGAGAGCGAAAATGGACCGTTTGGGGGGCAAAAATAAAAAACAGCGACCAAACTGGCCGGAGATCATCACGGGCACCTTTCCCTAGATTGAACAAACTTGTGCGAGCAAGAAGCGTGTCGATAAGACACACGGTTAGAGAATTAGAGATAAGATTGTGAGAAAAAAAAAAAAAAAAGAGGGAAAAAAGGAGAAAACACCGCAGTATCATGCCCAATAAGAAAGGAAACAATATGAAGGTTGTGAAAGAAAGATCTTTTTTCTTGGTCAGTAAATCATTATCTTTCTCCCTCTATATGGATGCGTCTCTGTCAAACATTTTAGTTATGCAACCCAAAACATGCATGTTAGTTATCCAAAACAACCATTAAATAGATACATTGCCTTCTGAACGTCTTGTTTTGCAGCTGTTCTTATTATTAAGGCAGACTGACTTGTAGTGATAGAACATCCTTGGCACTTATTACTTGCATAAATGCACACAGTTTCTTTGGTGGTTGCTTGTGAACTTACCATAATTACTTGAGACATTGAATTGATGTTTTCAGGCCTTGAACTCTCGAGTTGCAGGTGGTTGTCATTCTTCACATATTAATAATTGTTTTCAGCCCAATAATTTATTTGTTTCTTTCTTTTACTCATAGGTTGAAGGATATCTAATTTGGGAATTGAATCTGTTCAAAGACCTTTTGCTTTCTTTACGAGAAGCACACAAACAGTCTATGCAAGAGAGATACAGATAAACCGGATGGTGTTTCCTCTTTGCAGACATTGATGTAGGAGTAGAAAATATTATCCAAGTTGTTAGTCGTTCCTTGCATTTATGTTTTAGTTAAATATCACTCTTATGGATGATGATGAATTATGGACTGAAAACACTGAAGTTTGAGAAGTGGTGGTTTATTTTAGAAATTATAGTCTGGATGTGATATTATGATGTAATAGGATTTGACCAAATGGATTTTGCAAATTGCCCACTTTTGTTTGTAATTTTTGTTGTATTATTCTTACCCCTCTTGTTGGTTCAGTATACCATGTTTGACCATGTGACAAATTTTGTCGTTTTTTTGACAAATATGATGGTATTGTTGTTTTAATTGATGAGATATATTAGCAAATATTTGACTTCAATCTATTTTTAGTTCAAGCTTTTATTTGAGGTTTCTTCGATGACTTTGGGTGACTTCATTGGCACCAAAGATGAAGAATTTGAGAGTTTAGTATGGTGGGTTGTTTTGGTACCCTATTTTGGTCATATACAAGCTGCTAATTTCCTTATATTTTGCATGCTTATTTCTCTATGGTGAGTCCCATTTTTATCTCTTTTATAATTAATTTTTGATACCAAGTGTGCCGGGGCACAAGTTAGTGTGGGACTGGGCGCACAATGTAGTGGCTACTGCTTAAGGTGTGCCGGGCACATGTTTTTCTACCTCAAGCATAGGTAAGTGGGCCCGAGTGCACCCGAGCACATGATCATCTCAATTTGTTTAAGGTGTGCCCAGACGCACGTCAATGTGTGCCTGAGCGCATGGTATTATGCCCTACAACTCCATTTGGTGCACTGTGGCACACGGCAGTGGGGCAACTGTTAGTCGTGTGCTCGGGTACAATATTTTTTGTGCCCGGGCACAAGGCATAGAATTAGTTTTTTGAATCAATTTTTGTTTAATTTGTAGAATCAATTTTGAAAAAATACGTTTTAAAAAAGTTATAAAATTTGAAAATTTGTGTGGCTGTATATTTTGAAAATAGTTTTTAAAAAGTTAAAAATTCAAATTTGTTTGGTTGTATATTTGAAAATAATATATATACATATATATATATATATATATATATATTAGGAATAGAGAATATATAGATATATATCATAATAAGAACAAACATCTACAAAACACAAGCTTTTTTTTGTCACATTATGAGCAGCTTGGACCACTTGTATAGGTACCTTAGCAATACATCATAGTCCATGGACTTACACAACTTTATATGTGCTAGGATTTTTTCAATTTGCCAATCAACCATATGAGCATCATTCAGCTGTTTAATAAGCTCCTAACTATCTGTCAATACGTACAAACTCATTCAATTAATACAATCATCTAAACTTTAGATGATCCAAACAAAAAACATATTCTATTTTCACAAGTTAATACTGATATTTGATTTAAGTTTTATCCATTAGTAAATAAGTGATAATAAAGTATTCAATTGATCTTGGCATCTAGCAAAAAGTTAGCCTACATTTGTCAATTGTTGAGGAAGAATTATGTTAGTAAATTGCCCTCTTTATTGTGGCTTGCAAGACGTCTTCGACAACTGCGTTTACCATAATCAAATTCAGCTAGCACATGAAACTTGGTATAAGAAAGTTACATTCAATTATGATAGGAATAAAAGCTATGCACTTGAGCATTGAAAGGAGAGCATAATGATGCGGGCCTAATCTGTAGTAAAATATGAAGAGGGAAATAAAGATGAAAAGGTTGAACTAGAAATTAATGTCCACTATCGCTAATAACAATAGTGCCAACAAGTTTATTTTCTAAATATTCCACCCCTCCCCTCAAAAAAAAAGAAAAAAAAAAATCAAATTAGAGCATCACAAAATCGCATTTTTAGAAAATTACAAATTAAAACATAAAATCAAGTAGAGGTGGCTGGAAGATAAAATAATAATGATTGATTGTATTAACCAATGATGCATTAGTGACTTTAGTAGAATAGTAACTTTTTCAACATTCAGTGACCTATCAACTCAAGCAGTGACTTATCAAATTAATAAGTGATGTAGTGACTTTATCAGAATGAATCAATGATTGAAATAGTTATAGTTTCCTTTTTGACTCCCCTCATCCCACTCTAAAATGCTCAATTCACATCACTACAACATCTTTGTACAAAGACTTGTTATGTGTTGTAGTGACTAGTCACATCAAAGATGCAATTTCAGTACAAAATCGCATTTTAAGAAAATTACAAATTAAAGAATAAAATCAAATAGAGGTGCCTGGAAGATAAAATAATAATGGTTAGTCGTACAAACCAATGATGCATTAGTGACTTTAGCAGAATAGTGACTTTTTCAACATTCAGTGACTTGTCAACTTGAGTAATGACTTGTCAAATTAATCGGTGATGTAGTGACTTTATCAGAATGAATCAATAATCAAAATAGTTATAGTTGCCTTTTTGACTCCCCTCATCCCACTTTAAAATGCTCAATTCACATCGCTACAGCATCTTTGTACATAGACTTATTTTTTTGTTACAGTGACTAGTCACATCTTGTTGTTATTTGTAACTTGTCATGTCATCCTTTCTCAATGACATGAATATGATCACATGGCTATAGTCTTTATCAACAACTATTTAAGGAAGTGAAGGTAAAGGCACAACCTTACAACTCAATTGGCCCTCAAAACTATCGTCATTTTATTAACAAAAGTTATAACTTTGATATACATGGTAGGGCGTAACAATCGTACAGGTGGTAGGAACTTGCAAAGAGGTGAGAGTTCATGACGAGGAAGGGGAAGCGGTGATGTTCAAGATGAAACACCAGAATTAGATTATGCATGTGGTTAGCTTGATAGGTTTGGGAAGTGACATTTTATGATGCCCAGGTTTTATCGAGAGCATGGATGCCTAGTTATGAGTCCATTTGAAAATCAAACCCCATATGTTGGTAAAGAAGCTGGACATTGCAAGTGGCCCTTATTATTTGTAGATCGAGTAAGAAGTGAAATTATGTCAGGAATGTGGACTGAAGGTGACGAAAGCATATTCAGTTGATATCCAAAAGCAAAATCCTGATAATGTTGATCGACTATATCAAAGACTTGGACTTGAGATTGATCAAATAGACCGTAGATTAAGCTGCGATGCGCAACCAACCATTGTTAAAAAGGATGCCGAAAAGAACAAATCAGATCTTACTGAGGCTATCAAGGCTATTATAGAGGATCCTGCACTTGTCTTTGACCCTGAGCTTTCAAATTATTCGGACTCTGAAATCGCCGATTTGCGTGAGGATTAGGTCTTATATGTGTACTAAATTATATTAGTTTCTCCATAACTTATTATTGTGTGTGTTAAGTTGAGTCTTTCCACAATGAATTTGTGGGAGATTTGCGTAATAATTAGTTATGTGGAGTGAATTAATTGTTGTCCATCGCATAAGGACACGAGTGAGTTAACTTCGGCACATTTGTAAATGTACTAATCTCTTATGTTATGTTCATTAGGATGTCAGGACGTGGACGTGGGCGTGGACGTGGTAGTGGTAGGCGTGGTAGGCCTAGACAACATGAGGCGTCGTTACTAGATCCAAACTAGTTGGTCAGCAGGCCATGAGTGCTTTAGCCCGTGAGATGGCCAAAGCTTTGCTGGAATCCATGGACATTTTTAGAGTTGAGAATCAAGTCCAGGCCCAAGTACCTAAGACAGGGCTGTCATTTTTTAAGAGGGAGTTTTTTCGATCGAATCCAGATGAGTTTTTAGGGGATCCGAATGAGCCACTAAAGGCGGATGAGTGGCTAGAGTAGATGGTGGAGACGTTCGAGATGCTTGGCATTAAGGACGATGGGCTGAAAGTGACCTTAGCATCCTTCTCGCTGAAGGGAGATGCAGGTCAGTGGTGGAAGTATGTGCGTGGGAGGATTGGGGTGACTTGGGAGGCTTTTGTTAACGCCTTCCAGGACAAGTTTTTGCCTCCCATTGTTGGGGAGAAGTTGAGGGAGCAGTTTTTGAAGCTCAAGTAGCTTAACACACCGATGACCGAGTTTGAGGCTGCCTTTACCAATTTATCGAGGTTTGCACTGAAACTCGTGGCAATAGAGGAGCACCGTTGTTTGGAGTTTGAGAAGAGGTTGAGAACCGGACTCCTTTTCAAGGTGGCTACGTCTCTGATTAGGGATTACGGTCATCTTGTGGAGGCAGTGTCTCACTTAGAGACTGTGATTCAGACTGAGGAGGAGAGGATGAGGGGCTCCAGGCAGAGGAGTTAGGATGTTCAGAGGGAGACTTGGGACAATAAGAGGCAGAGGGGTTCCAACCCACAACAATCTCAAGGAGCACAGTCTAGGTCCACTTTCCCGATACTGAGTTCGGGTTTTGGAGAGGTGGTTAGGGAGGGATCACTTGCTTTAAGTGTGGTCAGCCAAGTCACAAGTCTGTAGTTTGCCCGCAGAGGGGTGGAGGAGAACAGCTTGCGCCGTCTTCGACTCGTTCTTAGAGCTAGAGTTAGGAGAGAGGCCAGTCGCTTACCTATTATTAGTGTGGGTAGTCGGGGCACTTGAGAAGGTTTTGCCCTCAACCAAGTGGCACATCTAGTGCGTTTGGTTCGAGGCAGACACAAAGCCATCAGTCTACACCGTTAGCATAGGCCTCGCGGGCCAATCAAGGATCCTCTTCGGCTCAATTCGTGTATCAGACTTATGCTCCGAGGGGTGAGCAGGTAGAGCAGAGACTTATAGGGTGTGCATATGCTGTTACCATGCCAGATTTGTTGCCAGCACCTTCGGTAGTGAAAGGTAACTTCTTGTTGTGTAATTTTATTGCCATTGTGTTGGTTAATACTGGTGCATCGCATTCTTTCATTTTGTCTGCATTGGCATCACCATTGGGGTTAGAAGTGGCTTAATTAGCATCTTCACTCAAGGTAGAGTCACCTATTGGTAGTGACCTTTTAGGCATACATCACTTGCAGGAGAAGGTGAGACTCGGAAACTATTCCCGGCTTGTAAGATAGAGCTCAATTTTCTTCAAGGTAAATTGATCCTTCAAAAAATTTCACTCCGACTAGATAACAAACCAAAATTACCAAACGACATCTAATCTTAAAAAAAAATTGGTACAAACGACCTTCTAGGCACACATGACATGTGGGAGAAGATGAGACTCAAAACGGTGCTCGATTTGTGAGATAGAGCTCAATTCCCTTTAACAAAAACTTGTCCTTATGAAAATTTCATTTCAATCCATTGGCA